GAAGGCAGTCGCTTAACCAACTGAGCCACCCAGGTGCCCTGTACTTGTATTTGGTGGAGGGGCACTGAGGCATTGGGATTTATTTTTATAAGTAGGCAACATGCCCAACACGGGGCTTAAACTCGACCCCGAAATGAAGAGTTACATACTCTGAGCCAGCCAGACTCAGTACTTGTTATTCAGAAACTATCCCTCCAGGAGAACATCCCTACAGAAAAGTGCCTGGTAGTATACAGCCCACTGTGAACACGTTATCTATCACCACCACCCATATCAAAAACATCACCAAGACCCCAGAGCACCCCTCCTACTCTCAGTCACTATCCTCTGGGACCCAAAACCACCACTATCTTGACATTTTATGGAAGATCGATCAGTTATTTTTCACTTTTCAGTATTATTTAAATGAACTTCTACCATCAAGTACTTTTTAACGCTTCATTTCCTTTGCTGCTCACTGTGTGTGTGGCTCCTCCGCATGGTCGTACGTAGCAGTAGTGTGCTTTCCTTCCTGCCCAGCATTCCATCGTGTGCCACTGTGGCGAGCGCCGTGACTGCTACCGTGAGCATTCTCTTACACGGCTTTTGGTGCGCGTGCGTATGTACTCTTGGCCTGGGATTGCTGATCTTAGGGCATGTGTAGTGGAGAGTACCAGTTTTCCAAAGTAGTTGTAGGTTACACTCCCATCAGTATGTGCTTGGTTCCACATCTGCCCCCAACCATGGGGGGGTGGTGGTAGCTGTATAGATTTTTGTCATGATTTTAATAGGCATTTCCCTGATGACTAATGAGGATGAATGTTGTCTATTATTGGATAGTGTAATTTTGAATACACTGTGTTTTTTAAGAAGCAACTCTTTAAAATGGCCTCAGCCATTCTGGAGAGCAGGAGAATCCTTGCTGTGCTCATTGAGATATCTTCAGCTGAGGCACCGCACTCCCCAGCTTCTCCCGTCCAACAGAAGTCTTCTCTTAGCTGAGAGTGGTTGCTTTTGCTGTTTCTAGCGCCATGAGGCAACAGACAGGAGGAGGAAAGTTGCTTATTCCTCATCCAAGAGGACTCTTGCTCTTCCTGTAATAAAGACATAGGTGGGATAACTTCCACTAAAATTAAGTATAAAGGTAGGGTCAAAAGAAGAATTAAGTGGGTCTGTGTGAGGCCTCCCGTGGAGCAGGAGGATGTGATAAGCAGGTCAAGGAGACTGGTTGGATTCTCCTGAATGCAGACCACAGGGTTCCCTTTCGGGGTGGCAAGGGAGAGCTGTGCAAGAAGAGGGCAGAACCATCGATCTTAAGAAAGCAGCACTAAGTCTATCTTCTGTGCACTTCCCTTCTGTACAGTTCTAAGTCCACTGCCGGCTCCCAAGGGAGGATATGTGGTCTAAGAATGGCCTAGACTCTTCCAGTGCAATGAGCTCCTGGAGGAAAATCCTCACACTGGCAGAAGAGTATAGACAAGCTCCACTATGAGTAGGGGGCAGAACGTGCAGCGTTAGGTTTAGCTTTGACCTTGGATTTCCATCCCTTTGAAGAATCATACTTTCTATACGAAAACCAGCCTCCAGGAGTTGAATGGGAGAAAAGGATAGCTTATAAGCATGGTGGAGTAAGAATCACATCAAGTGCAGAGACCTAATTAATTCCTAACTACTGGACAAGCACTTCGGTATCAGAGCCGTCCAAGCCTGTCAGCCTTTGAATCTTTCCAGCGAGTCGATGATCACACAACTCTTCAGGTAAATCAAAATTAGATGAAGGTTATTTATTGGTGCGACTTTTTTCCTGTAGTGAGCTTCCTTTACACAGCAGTGGTGTAAATAGCATCAAATTGAATGAAAACTTTGTTAAATGCAACCATAAATAATTATAATAAATATACATCAAGTAACTTTACAGCACACGGTTTTTTTTTTTTTTTTTTAGGGCCAAGGTTTGAATCGGTCTGGAGCTCTCAGTGTGCTCTCTGGGAGACGCAGTCGTGTTAGCAGCAAACATCCCACTCACAGCTGTCATCCGTTCAAGTGATGGGCCAAAAGAAGCTTCCCAAACCCCCCTGGGGGAGGTAGCTGACAATTCTGAGCCCATTCAAGGGATGGGAAGGATTGGAAGGGACCAAGAATGTAAAAATACAGAGAGGAAGAACCCCTTCTAATAATCCAGAGGCTCTTTCGTTATGCAGAAATAAGAGGATCCTTTGTCAGGACTACATCCTGGTGTGACCCCCAGTCAACGGGGCTCTCGCTGCTAGGAGGCAGAGGCCAACCCTCTTCCTTTCAAGCAGGGAAACTGCTTGCAGGTGCTCACCTCCAGACAGGACTGCTCCTGCATCAAATGTAACCGATGCAGCCGGAACGATGAATCCGGTTTTAGCTTTTCCTTAGGTTGGGGAATCATTTCTATAATGGTTCTTAATGCATTTCCTAAGAATAAGAGGGAGGAGATGGATGCTAATGGCTCTAAGTCTAAAGCCATACAACTTTCCACCAGGCCAGGGCCACAGCAGAGAAAGGAAAAGCACAGCTTTCTTTCCCGAGCATTCACACTCCAGAGCCTTCTAGTCAGCACTCACTCACTCAGAACTTTCAGTATTCACAATATTATACAATAAATACAGTGATGCGATTCCATGAGAACTGGCAAGGCCCAAAATGACAGTGTCCAATAAGACGGCATATGCTACTCTGGAACAAAGTACCATCGGACAAAGACCTGTTTGGGGCACCAATGCACTGGGGCAGCGGGTGAGCCTGGAGCAGCTCAGCCCTGGCACACACGCTCACATGGGGTGGCAAGGGAGTAGGGGGTGGGCCTGGACAGAGGGGGCAGAGGACCCCACAGTGGTCCTTGGAAGGTCTTAGTCACTGAAGTAGACCCTGAATTGAGCAGAGCACCTCAGTCAGCTCTTTTTAAAATGGGTGTGTGGCCCACTCACCAACACTGCGGTGAAGAAGGGCTGTTTCTGAGTACAAAAGGGGGGGGGTAGGCTTGAATCCTGTGCTTTCCTGTTCAGTCAGTCTCAGAAAAAGGCCCCCACTCGAGCGCTGTCCCTCCTCCTCTGGGTGTCCTTCTCAACTCCTGGAGCTGCAACATGCCTGGCTGTGAACTAAGGTTGGGGATGAGCCCTTTGGTCTTCTGAGGAACGCTCAGTGGAAAACTGTCAGACCAGGGGCCCAGAGGAGACAGGGCAGAGGGTTGTCTGGGTGGGAAGGGATGGGGGAACCATGGGGTGGGGGGCGCTTTTCCTCAGAAAAACCCAGACCATAAACAAGGCTCTAAAGCCGGAAGATTAACACAGAAAGCTCCGTGTGTGTGTCTCCCACGTTTGGGTAACTGGCCCAACCATTTCAAGATGGAAGGAGGCCTGTGGGAGCTGTGTCCAGGATCAATTCCCCCTCAAGACAGGAGGGGCAGGGCCACAGACTTGTTTGTGAAGATGCTCTGTGGAGAGAACAGGATGCTGTGTGTGGCCACTGGGATCTCACCACCAGCTTCCTGCTGGGTGATTTCCATGATGTGGAACTAACTGGGGCCTTATGGCATCAGAATCCGGTGGCCATGAAAGACAATGTCCAGGAAGATCAAATGAGACACAGGCTGCCCGGGAACTAAACTATCCTACAAACATACCACAAACAGGTAGTAAAAGAACCAACCCATCACGAAACATACAAATACAAAAGGTTAAGTCTTCCAGGAAGCCCTGGAATGTGGACAAAAGTTCAGAAAAGCAAAATGTCGCCAACTCCTCACGCAGGGCCCGGAGGGATGTGCCCTCAGTGGCAGGCTTCCCAAGCCGGCGGAGCGGTGCCTCAGTGACGGACTCACTCTGGGGCTCCCTCCCCTCAGCCACTCAGGGGGTCTTCTCGGTAGTGAATGGCACAACGAAGTTTCTCCAGCATGATTTCCAGAGAGGAGTACTGGGGAAGTTTGATCATGAACATGCAGGTCTCCACTCGGATGTAGCGAGAGTCTGGGGAACCTGCAAAAAACCCCACCAGGCCAGTGTTAGGAGGCTGGGCTACGATTCCAGGGAGGCCTATCGGCCTCTCTGCTTCCAGGGTTGCTGCTCCGGGCAGCTCTGAGCCAACCCCAAGGCTCATCAGGAGGAAAGGAGGGGCAGGGCAGGGCAGGGGCAAAAGGAGAGAAGATTCCGGAGGAGAAAATGGCGGACACAAAGCGGGCATCACAGTGCCGACCTGGGAGGGAATCTGGTTAGAGAGAAGTTGGGCCAGCAGAGGGTTTTATTTTTCCACATTTAAAAGTTGGAAAATTAAAACCTGTCTGGATTTTTAGCTTCTTAAAACATCAGAGAAAGGGCGCCTGGGTGGCTCAGTTGGTTAAGAGACTGCCTTCGGCTCAGGTCATAATCCTGGAGTCCTGGGATCGAGTCCCGCATGGGGCTCCCTGCTCAGCGGGGAGTCTGCTTCTCCCTCTGACCCTCTGCCCCCTCATGCTCTCTCATTCTTTCTCTCTCAAATAAATAAAATCTTTAAAAAAATAAATAAAACATCAGAAAATGTGTCAACCTTGGGCCGCTATGGAGGACTCTTGGCTGAGGTCAGGTTTGGGAGTCAAGTGACCGCGCGCGCCCCTCCCCCATTTACATCGGGGTTTAGCTGTCCATTGATCTCCCTCCCGCAGGGCCCAGCAGCCCCAGCTCCCAACTGAGAGAAGGGCCTGTGTGTCCCGACTTGGAACACGACAAGCGGAGGGCGGTACCTGCTGTGCCATCTGGGGGGGCAATCTTCATGGGGTATGGGGGCACATGGGCTGTGTCAGGGCCCCCGTCCTTGCAGGGGCAGGTGAATGGGATGCGTTCCTGGTTGCAGGCAAACTTGATGAACTTGCACAGCTCCTCCTGGGCGAACATCTCCAGCGCCCCCCAGAAGAACTCAATGTGCTGGTCCGTCTCCATCAGCCCCACCTGGTACATGGTGTGGGCCTGGGGAAGAAAGGCCCCCGAGCCGTGAGCAGACCCAGGCCTCTGCCAGCCCAGTACCTCCCTAGGCCAGGTGGGTGCAGCAGGGACACGGGGATCGTGACGATGACGAAGGCCTGGGAGGTACTGTCCCAGCACCCGCGTGTGGGACCGCAGCCTGCACGTCAGGCCCAGCAGCACAGGCTCGACCCAGGTTACCCCGTGGACGCAGCGGGCGGGTCCTGTCACCGTTCCCACTGGATGTGAAGTCACTCGGGCAAGGTCGTGCAGCTCGCAAGAAGCAACCCTGGGATGCCAGGGCCCAGCCCGAGGGAAGCTGGCCAGGCTGGGGAATGGAGGGGGCTCAGCAAGAGCGGTCGTCTCTCGGGATGCGGCTGAGGACGGGGGCCTGGAGGCCAGCGGTCTGGGAATGAAGCTGCCACGAGGAAGCTTCGGCCAGCTCAGCTGTGAGACGGGGTGAGCACGGCGTCCCCCCCGCCGCCCCCCAGGACAGAGCGCTGGGACACAGGAAGCACCAGGACAGGCCCCCGCTGACACCGCCTGCCGGCCCGGCCCCACGCCACCGACCTTGAGGAACTCGAGGTTGATGTAAGGGAGGCCGCACGTGCGCAGCTCCATCTCCAGCGGGCTGAGCGTGGTGAGCAGCTGCAGGGGGATGATGGCGCCCAGGCCCGCCCTCACGGCCGTCACGCACTCGGCGTTCTGCAGCTCCCGCAGCCGCAGGCTCCGGATGGCGGCCGCATAGATGTCCTTGTTCTCCCACCTGCCGGCGCGAGGGCCGCCCAGGTGAGGGAGAACGCCGAGGCGGCCCGCGGGGCTGCACCCAGTCTCTGGGCCACACGCGCCCCCGCCCGCCCCCCCGCCCCAGCAGAGGGCCCAGGTACCCGGACGTCCTCTCCTGCCCCGGCCGTCACCCGCCTCGCAGCCGGGGCTTTCGTGATTAAGAAGTCACGCCGAGCACATTCCCTCCTTGCCGTCCCCCAATGTCCTGCCTCACGTTCCTCCCACTGGTGAAACCCGCCTGCCACCCGCCCAGCCCAGGCCGCCCAAGTCCCGGCGCTGCCGCGACACCCCGTCGGGCCGACTGGCCGGTCCCCTGCGCAGGCCCAACACTCACGCCACAGGGATGTGCCGGCCGCGGCTGCACAGCTCCACCTCCTCGCCCGTCATGGTCAGGTAGGTGAACCTGCAGCACGGCTTGTTGGGGCCCTCCGGGCTCTCGGGGGCCAGGTGCTGGGAGGCGATCTCGGCGCACAGCGCCTCCAGCTCGGTCTCATCGTTGATCTGGGGGCAGAGGCGGACCGAGGCTGCCTGCCTGACCCCGAGACGGAACCCCAATCTCCAGTCGGGCCAACAGCGGGCACCGTTTGCGTGGGGGCTGCCCCTGACCGTCACGAAGGGGCACACGGCACCAGCCTGCCCAGACGTGCCGTGAGTTCAGGGCTGGGCGTGTGGCTGAGGCCCGGCTAACGAGACCCAAATTGCAGGGCTTTTGCTGTTACCATTTGGAAGCAGCAGTCCTCTGTCCCTGGCGTGGCCACGACTGTAAAATGGTACCTCTCGTACTACTGGGGACCCTCTCGAAACCAGTTATTGAAGACATCATTTGGACACCTGGATTCAGCCTCGCCCAAAGCCGAATCTGTATCCATGTTTAGTTTTAAAAGCAAATCATTTGAGAAACCAAAAGTAGTGCCCAAAAGATGCTGATGTGGACGCCGGGCTCCGGAGACGACCGGATCCGGCCCAGAGGGGAATAAATCGTAACTCTGGGTGGTGAAGGTCCAGGTACAACCGCCAGAAGTTCAGAGTATTTCTTCCCGGTTCGCGTGCCCCAACCCTGCGGTAGTCTGTATCCCGGCACCCTCTGAGGCTTTGCCCAACCCCTGCAGAAAGAAGCCTTGCCCGGACGGCCCTTCTGGACGCTGTCTTATGTCCCCTGCCTGCCCCAGGCCCTTGCTGCTACCACAGCCCTGGGAGGACTTCTCAGAGCAGTGCCTGGCAGGGACCCCTAAATCCCTAGCCCGTGAGGGCCATCCTGCTTTGACCCTTTAGGCAGTTCACTGTCCTCCCCGTTTCTGCTGGGAAGCCAACCACTAACCCAAGATCCCGACTGTGGTGCGCCCTGTGCTGCCCCAAGTGGTAGCCCAGGGAGGGACAACACCCGAGCTGTGAGCCCGCGCCAGTTGACGCTCCCCGGCGAGCACAGGCAGCTGGCCAGACCTAGCTTCCACTGGTGGCTCTGCTCCCCGCCAGCTCTCCTCTCTGAGCCTCCCTCCCTCCTGGCCCCGTTGCGAGGACGTGGGCACACTGGGCACACTGGGCACACGGCCCTCCAGAACAGGGCCTCCCATACGCGGAGAGCAACCCGGGAGCGCCCCGCGGCTGGGGTGAGAGCCCAGGGCCTGGCCCGTGGCCGGCCCCCGCGCCTGCGAACCAGTGGCTGGCAGCCTGAGCACTGAGCGCACGACCTGCGGGAGCCCGGGCTGTGCGGGCGGACGGATGGTCGGACGCCGCTGTGCTCTCGCTAGCTCTGTGTGGCTCGAGGCGCCAGGAGGACAGCTCCGTTCCCCACCCCTTGCCCTTCCCTGGCCGATCTATCTCGGGGGATCCCCAGGAGCCAATCTCCTGCACTCTGAGGCCCCAAAACCAAGCTCTTAAAAGCGAAAGTGGATTGGCCTGTAGGAGTTCCCCTCCCGGCGCCTCTGCTCACTCAGCTGCCGGGCACCCTGCAACCCTGCGTCTTTGGGGGGGCCCGTCAGGGCACGTCAGTCACCCCCACTCTGCTGCTATCAAACAGAAAGAGAAGCCAGAGGGGCTTCTGTCCCCATGGAGTAAGCCTGCCAGAGACGGCTCACATTCCCTCGTGTTCTTTGGGAGGTCCCAATCGGTCTTCAGGTAGACGCTCGGACCCCCGTGGCACGGAGGCCCAGGCCACAGCAGGCCACGGAGGCAGCAAGGAGCACCAGGGACACTGCCCCGGAGCTCTGCTGTCCCCAGCACGTACTATTCACTTACGCTCTCGAACTTCTTGACGTAATTGTAGGTGAGTATGTCTGCTTCCTGTAGGTCTTGGTCAGGGTCCAGGGGCTCCCCCACCAGGGTCTTCCAGAAGGAAGGCAGGAGGTCCAGGGGAAGAGGGACATCTGCCCGAATTGCAATTCCCAGCAGCTGGCCCAGGAAGTGGAGCAGCTGCTCCTCCCCGCAGGTGATGGGGCTCGGGGTCAGGATGTACTTGCCCTGGAAACGGAGGCAGGCATGGGCTGCTGGCGGGCGCAAGGAGCCGCCGCAGGGTCGGGGCGGCAGGCCAGGAGGGGCAGACGGGGGCAGAGGCGCCCCGCTGCCCGCGCGTCCTACCTTGTTCTTGTTGACGGCCGAGCTGGGGCACAGCAGCAGGAGGGACAGCGACGAGCTCTGCAGCTCCTTACACACCTGCCACAGGAAGTGCCGGAAAGAGCCGCCTGTGGGACACACGGAGACCGATCAGCACGGAGACCCCAGCAGCCCGCCTGCCCGCGGGCCCTGTGCCCACCTGGACCTCAGCTCGTTCGCCAGCCCGCGTGCAGCTACGGTGCAGGGGAGAGAGGACCCGTCCGAGGGCGGGTAGACCTGGGGTCAAGTCCCGCTGTGCCACTTACTATCTGGGTGACCCCCAGGCAATCACTTCCCGGTGTCCCGGTCCACCAAGTGGGGACAGTCATCGAACCGATGTTGGGGGCTGCCTCCGAGGTCCGGAGACCCGGTGCGGAGCCCCACGCGGGCCGCCTCCACGGCTGCAAGCTCACGCTGATCTGCAGCCTTGTTCGGTCCACGTCTGTCGCTCCAGGTTGTACTGAGAGCGGGGCCACCTGTCCTACTCAGCACCGCCCACCGCCGAGGCCCAGGTCCTCAGGGTCCATCCAGCGAGTGTCTAACTGCACGGACCGATGCACGAGTGCTTGCAGGGGGCAACGGGCCACTAAGGGTCCCCTGCTGTCTTTCCAAACGTGCCTTTGGCTTTCCGGCCAACACCTCCCTGTGGCTGGGTCTCGTCTCCCCTGTGCACCCCGTCAGGGCCCTAAGGTCGGAAGCTCTGAGGACAACTGCACGCACACACTGCTCGGTCAGAGCCATGCAGAGGACCTGCTTGGGGACAGATGTCCTCGCTCAGCTTCCCCGGGGAAGCAGGAGATTTCTGCCTGCGGAAGCCACCAAGGGCTGGGCCGTGGAGCCGGATGGACCTGGGTCTGAGCCACAGCCAGCTGCCTGAGCTGGGGGAGGCTCTATCAGTCCCGAGGGGCAACGCCGGTCTCTCGTGCACTTGCCCTGTATGCGGAGGGCCCGCCGTGGAGCGTGGGCCTGCCACTCCCGCCATGCTCGGAGAGGCCCCGCCGGAGAGGGGAGCCCACCCGCCCTTCCCGCTGCATCTGGCTGAAGAACGGGGTCTCTTCTCTCATCCAGAGTGGGAAACGCTTCCTGAATGTCTGCGGCTCACTAGGCATGGCTTAAAGGGTCACGAGGGAGCATTTTCCGAGCTGCTGTCCCTCATCGCTGTCCCCTAGCACCCTGCCTCTCATGGGACACACGCACGCTCTGAGCCGAGCCCAGCCCTCAGCCGGGGGCCCTTCCTGGGGGACCAGGCCAATCCGCACGGATGGCGGCTCCACGGTATCCACTCAGCACTGATCCCAGGCTTGGTCCCCGAGCCCGGGGGCGGGGGGGGAGGCCCTCAAGTCCCTGGCAAGCGCTGTTCCTGCCCAGCCCGGGGGCGAGTCCCTGGGGGCGGCGGCAGTCCTGGCTTCTGCAGGACAGGCTAATAAGGATGCGGCCTTTTTAGTCTCGCTGATGGGAGGGGAGCTGGGGCAGATGAGGCTAAAAATAACGCCAGGACCGTTCACATCGTCAGCACAGCCCCCACGCTGAACGGGCACCCCAGAGCCTCCGGGGGCGCACTCACTGGTGCCGTGGACCTCCTCCCCTGTGAAGCGGATGTTGAAGGCGTAGGTGGGGTCGCCACCACTGGCCAGCTTGACACAGAGCTGAGAGGACGAGACGGAGGCCAGCTGCCGGGCAGCCTGGCAGAAGTAGGAGTTTTCGGAGGCTCTGATCTCCCCTGGAAAAAGACAGAAAGCAGTAAAAGCCTCCAGGCGCCGTCTTCTGCTCTCCCGCCCTGGGACACAAGCCTTGCCAGGCCTCTGCCTGCTTCTCGGCCCTCTCCCCACCCCTGGTTCAGCCACCCTGCCTTCTCTCTGCTCTTGGAACGTCTTCTGTGCCGCAGGCACGTGGCCCCCAGCCTCCCCTCTGTCCCCAGGGGAGGCACGCCCCGTCCACGCTCTTCTCTCATTTCCTCCACGCAGTGTGTGTGTTCACAGGCCGTGGCCGCCTCCCCAGGGGCCATGCCCCCCCCCTCAATGCCAGAACCCCAACTCTAGCAAGTCCACGGCCAACCAGAACATTTCCCCTTCCCACCCTCCCCCACAGTTAGGTGTGGCCCCCATGACAGTTCTCCAGTGAGATGGGAAGGAGAGGCGAGGCTCCGGGAAGCAGAGAGCTCCTTCTACCTCTCCCCTTTCTCTTGCTGCTCAGCATGCAGGCTCACTAGGGGACCCTGAAGGTGGAAGCCACCCGATGGGACAGTTGGGAGGAGGACAGAAGCAGCCAGATGAATGTCTGTACTACCTTCTAGAGGCTTCTTTCATGTGCACGAAATCAACTGCATCGTTTGTTCGATCACGGCTATTTTGCGTTTTCTGCTCTGTGTAGCTAATCTTACCTCCCACAATTTCCAGTGGGTCCAAAGTGATCTCGGGAGCTGCATGGTCAGCTGTCCTCTGCACAGTGGCGTTCAGCACCCGATTCATGACGGTCACCTTCGTGTCATAAAAGATCAGCCCTGAAGGGAAGAACGTGGGAAGAGAGGCTCAGACAGGGCTGCTTTCCTGCTTTCCCTGTCAGCCCTGAGGCCTGGCAGAGGACACGCTGCCCCCTCTGGGTCCACTCTCTCCTGGCATGCCCTCCAGGCCCCTGAAGGGGGTGCACGCACACACACCACGGCCCTGACTTTCCGGGGGGCGGCAATTTGTATCTGCCCCAATGGTAACACATGAACCCCGGCCTTTGTCATGCCCAGGAACCACCTCACTGGCAGAAATACATGAAGTATGAGGAGGTTTGCTGCAGCATTTTCTGAAATGGCAAAAAATAAAAACCCAGAAGGTGAAGGTGTAGAAAAGAACATATGCTAGGATACCCGTTTTTGATTTTTAAAAAAAGTCATGTGTGTCTATTTGTATGTGAACAGAAGAGTCTGGAAGGACAGGTACTCAGCTGTTAATGATGATCATCTCTGGAATATAAAGGACAGTGAGCCAGAGCCTTCTATTTTTTTTTTTTTTTTTTTAAACAATGGAGCCCAACGTGGGGTTCGAACTCATGACCCCGAGATCAAGAGTCACATGCTCTTCTGCCTGAGCCAGCCAGGTGCCCCCGAAAACTTCAGTAAGTTTACTTTTTCAGGGCGTAACTGAAGTAAGCGCTCTGGGCCGGAAGCGCCGGTCCTCCCGGACCCGAGCGCGCTGACCTTTGGCCTCCTTCAGCAGGGCAGCGATGCTGTGCGCGTACACGGGCGTCGGGCGCAGCTCCACCAGAGGCAGGAAGAAGGTCTCCAGCGTGGTGTTCAGGGACTGGAGCAGGGCGAAGCGCAGGCGCAGGCTCTCGATGGGCACGTCTGCAGGGCATGAGGGGCGGTCAGGCCGGGACTCCCGGGGTGGGAACAAACTCAAGCGGCCCCTGTCACCGGGGGGAGGGGGAGGCACCGGGAGCGGGGCATTTCAGGGGGACCAGGAGGGCCCCCGTAGGGGACTTCATCCCTGGGGCCCACAGATGCTGTGCGTGCGTGGCCCCCGGGCTGCCTGAGCCCGTGCCAAGCAGAAGCAAAGGGTGAGGCCCCGGCTCTTAGGGCATCCAGGGGCCCCCTCAGCCTATCTGTAGGGCCACGTCAGGGCTGCGGCCTAGGCTGTTTTTAACTTTCAATTTCGAAATAATTAGAATTCTAGGAAGTTGCAAAAATAGTACACAGCCCCGTGTACCTTTCCTCAGCTTCCCCCAAAGTGACATCTTATGTCAAGCCCAGGACATTGAGACACCGCCACGCTGTCTCGTGTGTCCTCACATCCGTCTCCCCTCCAGCTGGAGAGACGGACAGCAGGACGATCTCCGGCCCATGTTTGCCTTCAAAGTACCCGGAAGAGCAAAGAGCGAAGGCCGAGAGAGGGTGGGCAGACTCCCAAGCCGCCCGTGGTGCACACGTGCGCAGGCACAGAAGCCAGCCTGGGGGTCGCTGCCCGCGTGCTGTGACAAGGGTCGCCTCCCAGGGATGGATTTACGCAGAGCGTCGGCTCTTGCGTGTGCAGGCGCATTCCCAGCTTTTGATGAAGCCGCGCTGCTCTCTCGTGATGAGGGATAATGCCTCTGATCCCGCTCCCCCCCGACCCCCGCCTGGCATCTGGGGTGGCCTCCGGGCAGGGCCCGGGTGGAACGGTGGCGGCCGGGACCCCCAGCCGCTGCACGCACTCCCGCACCTGCCGCCCGCCTGCAAGGAACCTGCAGCGGGGCCTCGCCCCCTCAACGCACCTGCAATCACAGCTGCGTGTCCGCCCCCC